CTGCGTAGTGAGATTGTCTAAAAATTAAATACGCATAGAGCCAGCATGTAAGAGTTTCACCGTGGATGTAGTGTGCCTGTGTGAACACTCTTAAACACAAGTCCCCATAATTACCCACAGGTGCGCACTGGAGTGACCCTTGAGAGAACAAGTAAACTCCCTTTCTCGGTGTCTAAAATTCTGGGTCCTAGTGCCAGAAAAATGGCTCAGTAGGAAAAAGTACCTGCTGCACAAGCTTGAGAGCCCGAGTTTGATCCCTGAAACCTTAAAACACCTGGTGTTTCTTTAATCCTGGCTCTTCCAGGACAAGATGGGGGTGGAGACAGGAGGATCTGATGGAAGCTCTGGGCCAGATAGCCTGGAGTACTGCATGTAGGGGCAGAAACAAGAGACCCAGTCTGACAAGGTGGGCGGTGAGAGCTGAGTCTTCAAAAGGTGTCCTCTGACTTCCTCATGTGCCATGACAGGCACATGTGTACACACGCGCACACACACACACACACACACACACACACACACACACAGAATCTGTTATTTTAAAAAGAAAAGAATCTTTCTCTCTGGGCATGGTGACTCGCACCTATAATCCATCTCTTAGAAGGCAGAGGTAGCAGCTTAGGTGGCTTCTCACGGCCCTGTCTCAAAACAGCAAGACAATAAAATCTATTCTCTCCTCTGTGAGCTGGGGACACCAGTGTCGGCCTTCTCTGCTGAGATGTGCATTGCTTCTCTTGGATGACTGGGTTGAAGACAGCCCTGAGTGACTGTGACCCATGCCTGCTGCTCATTAAGTATGACTGGGCCCTAAGGGAACAAATCAGGAAAAACCGGCACACGCCACTGTCTTCTCCCATATGGCCACAAGGGGGCCCGCGAGACTGGCTGATTGTCCTAAGTCAGGAGAGAGTGGAAACAGTCAGCCTGCTTCATGGAGAGACATCAATTTTGCTTTCTGTTCAGTGGGTGTCCTCCCCTGCTCCTCTATTTAGGACCCTTCTCATTTTCACACACCCTTCTCAGGTTTTCTGGAGGAAGGGAGTTGGCACTCTGTATCTCAGGGTCCTGGGGCTGTTTACAGGGCTACTCAAAGTGAAACTCATAGACCCCCTGTGACTTGTGAGGAAAGGGAGCCGATCTCCCAGTGCAGGGAGCTGGGTCTTGGACTTTCCCAGCCCCTGAAGTAGAACCACCCAGGATTGGTGGTGTGAGACTTGTCTTTCAAACAGGATACCCCAGCAGCACAGGCTGAAGGTGGGGAATTTGTTCTTGGCACGTGAACTCAACAAGTAGTATTGGTGATGGGCTGGAGAGATGGCTCAGTGGTTAAGAGCATTGCCTGCTCTTCCAGAGGTCCTGAGTTCAATTCCCGGCAACCACATGGTGGCTCACAACCATCTGTAATGAGGTCTGGTGCCCTCTTCTGGCCTGCAGACATACACACAGACAGAAGATTGTATACATAATTAAAAAAAAAAGTAGTATAGGTGATGAGTCCCCTGCCAGTGCCACTGGAGGCCTTCAAACAGCATCGGGGACACGACCACCACAGTTCCCGAGTTCCTTCTTCCTGTCAGTCAGCACAGGAGCCTCCATTTGCTGCAGGGAGTGATGTTGGGATGACCTCTCACCTCTGAAGAACACGTGACCCACCACAGCTGCTGTAGTGTACTGGCTGAGAGCCTTACTCTGGGCCCAGAACCTCTCCTGGGTCTGCTTCTGCTTGTCAACACGTGATCGGGCCTCCCCCAGGTCCTGAGTGGTCTGGGTGCCACTCAGTGGTCAGAGTTCTGCTCTGGCAACTGAATCAGCAGATTATGTACCCAGCCTGGCCCTCAGCTTCAGCACCATGGAGAGGTTGAAACTCAACCAGAGGCTGAGCTGTACTGGCTGCTGGCGTGGCCAAGGCCAAGGAGATGCTTACCAGAGAGAAGAGAACGTTTTCTCCTGGAGCAGGAAGGGCCAGCTTCCTGTAGTGGCTGAAGGCAAAGTCTATGTTGCTCACAGAGACTTTGTGGCAGGGCAGAGCCATCCGGGGGCAAAGGTCCATGACATCAGAAGCTCCTGGGTCAGCCAGGGCCAGACAGTGAGGCACAGCCGTGATTGCAGTGGTCAGCACTTCCTCCATCCTCCATGTTCCTTGGTTTGAAAGCAACAGTGGCCTGGAAGACAACAACCATAATGATAAGTATACGCGGGTTTTCCGGGGCACTGGCTCTGGGTCAGGCCCTGTACCAATGCTTCCTGGGAGACCTCACCTAGTCCTGCTGGGGAAGATATTGTTCTTCCATTTTGATTGCACAGACGAGAAAGTGGAGGCTTGGGAAAGCAGGCTAGGGCCATTAAACTAAGTAGGAGATGGGGGTGGAAGCTGGACTTCACACACACACACACACACACACACACACACACACACACACACACACACACA